CTTGTGTCTATTTTTGAATTTCAAATAAATGAATCATGCAGAACATATTTTTGTGTCCAACTCTGTTTTCTGTCAACATTATGTTTATGAGCTACACCTATATTGTTGTAGGGTCTTTAGTTGTCCATTTTCATCACTTTCCGGTATTATTAGTTGAGTTTTTAAATAGATTTCATTTATAGAGCAGTTTTAGATTCATGCCTGGATTGAGCAGAAGGTACAGAGAGTCCCATGTGCCTCCTTGCCCCCACATGCACAGCCTCCTATGACCAGCACCCCCATCAGAGAGGTGCGTCTGTTACACTGATGAAGCTACAGTGACACATCCTGTCACCCAGGGTCCAGGGTTTACTTGCAGCATCACTTGGTGTTGTGCATCCTGTGGGTTCATATATAAAAACATGTGCTCAGCTTTACGGTATCATACAGAGCGCTGTCACTGCTGAGCTCTGCTGATTCTCCCCTTCCTCTCCAACTCCTGAAACCTTTGGTCATTTTACTGTCTCCATTATTCTGCCTTTTCCACAATGTCATATATTAGATGTAGTATGTATCATATTCAGACCACCTTCTTTCACTTAATAATATGCATTTACCGTATTTTTCGGACCATAAGACGCTCCGGACCATAAGACGCACCAGTTTTTAGAGAAGGGAAATGAAGAAAAAAAGATTCTGAAACAAATAGTGTCCTAAAATATTTTATGTGCATTAAACCCAACATCACAGTCATAAACACATGTAATCAACCCTGTAAAGTAAACAGCAGCATTTAGAACCATTTTAGAGCCGGGCAAGCACACAGAGACCACACAGAGCCGGGCAAGTAAAAAAACTTTTTTTTTAAAGTATATGTGTAGGCTATATTTGGACCATAAGACGCAGGGACTTTTCCCCCCCACTTCTGGGGGGAAAAAAGTGCGTCTTATGGTCCGAAAAATACGGTAAGTTTCTATTATATCTTTTTATGGCTTGATAGCTCATTTCTTTTTAGAGCTAGATAATATTCTATTGTCTGAATTTACCACATCTTATTTATCTTATCCCCTGCTGAAGAAAATTTTGATTGCTTCTAAGTTTTAGTGATTATAAATAAAACTGATATAAATAACCATGAGCAGGCTTTTTGTGGATATAATTACCCAGCAATCACACTTTTTGGCATGGACCCAAAGTTAAAAACTAATGTCAGAGAATGTTTAGTGTTGCAAGAAACCACCAAACTATCTTCCAAAGTTGCTGCACCATTTTCTGTCCCCACCAGTAATGGCTGAGAGCTCCTGTGGCCTCACACATCCTCAACAGCATTCCGTGCTATTGGCTGTTCTAATGGGTGTCTAAGTCATATTTTATTGTTTAAATTTGCATTTCCCTGATGACATGATGTAGAGCATTTTTCTCATGTGCTTATTTGCCGTCTACATGTCTTCTTTAGTGAGGTACTTGTTAGGATCATAAGCCCATTTCAAGTTGGATTGTAGTTTTTATTATTGACTTTTCAAAGTTCTTTGTGTATTTTGAATAACAGGTTTTTTATCAGATATGTCTTTTGCAAATATTTATGTAAGTCTGTGGCTTGTCTTCTTATTTCCTTGACAGTATCTTTTGCAGAGCCGAAAATTTTAATTTTAATGAAGTCCAGCTTATCAGTTCTTTCTTTCATAGATCGACTCCTGGTGTTGTGTCCAAAAGTCACCACCACACCCAAGGCTGAGGTCTTCTCCACTAGTTTCTAAGGTTTTATAGTTCTGTGTTTTACATTTAGTTTGTGATCCATTTTGCTTTAATTTTTTTTTTGCTTTAATTTTTCTGAATGGCATACCTGGTAAAGTTTTGATCTAGATTATTATTTATTTATTTATTTATTTATTTATTTATTTATTTATTTATTTATTTTTTTGCCTGTGGATGTCTAATTGTTTCAACAACATTTGTTGGGAAAAAACAAATAGTTTTTTCTCCATTGTATTGTCCTTGCTCCTTTGTCAAAAATCAGTTGGTTATATTTATGTGGGTCTATTTCTAGATGCTATGTTATGTTTTATTGATCTATTAGATCTATTTTTATCTTTGATCACCAATACCACACTGTCTTTAATACTGTAGCTTTAGTCTTGAAGTCAAATAATGTCATCCTTGTTCTTCTCTTTCAATATTATGTTGACTATTCTGGTCTTTTGCCTCTCCATATAAACTTTATAATTAATTTGTTAATTTCCACAAAATCACTTCTTAAGAGTTTGATTTGGATTGCACTGAATGTAGAAGTTGAAAAAAGCTGATATTATGACAACATTGAAGATTTCAATCCATGAAAATATAAATATCTATATTTTGTTCTTCCTTGATTTCATTTATCAGAGTTTTGTAGTTTTTCTCATTCATCTATTTGTATTATTTTGTTAGATTTATACCTAAATATTTCATTTTCAGATGCTAATGTAAACAGTATTGTAATTTTAATGACAAATTCCACTTGCCTTGCTTTTTGGCTTTTTTGCAGTGGTCTGGATCTGAACCCATAATATCTCCAATGCATGCATGTATATAGAAAAGTGTTTAACTTTTATATGTTAATCTTCTATCCTGAAACCTTGCTATAATTTTCATTAGTACCAGAAGTTTTTCATTGATTCTTTCAGGTTCTTTTTTAAAAATTAAATTTCTTGGGGGTAACATTTGTTAATAACATTATATAAATTTTAGCTGTATAACAAGATAGCACAACATCTGTATATTCTATTGTGTACTTGTGTACTTGTCTCCTTCTGTCACTTTGTATTTAACCCCTTTTGCCTCTTTCATCCTTTGAAGCCCTACCCCCTTTTCCTTTGGTTACCATAATTCTGTTGTCTGCATCTATGAGGGGTTTTTGTAGTTCATTTACTAGCCCACATATGAGTGAAATATTAAGAATCTTGTGTTTTTCTGTCTGAATTACTTCACTTAGCATAATACTCTCAAGATCCATCCACTCATGTTGCCACAAATGACAACATTTTATCTTTTATGGCTGAGTAGTATTCCATTGTATATATGTACCACTGCTTAATTCAGTCATATATCAAAAGACACTGGGTTGTTTCTATGTCTTAGCTATTGTGAATAATGCTGCGATGAACATAGGGTACATATATCTTTACAAATAAGTATTCTCAAAATTTTGGGGTAGATACCCAGAAGCAGAATTGCTAGGTCACATGGTAGCTCTATTTTTAATTTTTTGAGAAATCTCCATAATGTTTTTCCTAGCAGCTGTACAAATTTACATTCCCACCACCAGTGTACAAGGAGTCCTTTTTCTCCACATCCTCACCAACACTTATTTCTTGTCTTATTGAAAATAGCCATTCTGATATGTGTGAGGTGGCGTCTCATTGTGGCATTGATTTGCTTTTCTCTAGTGATGTTGAGCATCCCTCCACCCCCTGCCCCCAGCTATTTGTTGGCCATCACTATGACTTCCTTGGAAATGTATCTATTCAGGTCCTCTGCCCATTTTTTTTTTAAATTTATCTTTATTGTTTAAAGTATTTCAAATGTTCCTTTTTACACCCCCCCCCCTCCTTCTTTAACCTCTATTCCCCACTTCCTTCCCCTCCCCAGGCCTTCTTTAATGACATTGCTTTTGTTGTGGTGTTATATGAGTACTTTTTCCTATTTTTCAATTATATTTTACATTCCATATTATTTTGTATTAGTTTCAGGTATACAGCATAGTGATTTTCCCCAATATTTCCAGTACCCATCTGTACCATACATAATTATTACATTATTATTACAATACTAGAGGCCCGATGCAAGAAATTTGTGCAAGGTCCTAGGCCCCTGCTACCACTGGTGGCCACCTCTGCCTCGGTCCCCACTGGCCATAGCTTTGTCCAGAAGGAAGCACATCCCTAAGACATCTGTTCTAATTAGCATGTTGCACTCTTATTATTATAGATTATTGACTATATTTCTTATGCTGTACTTTATATACCCATGACTATTTTGTATCTACCAATTTGGGTTCTTAATTGCTTCACTTTTTTTACCCAATGCACTTTCTCTACTTCCCCATGCAACAATTAATGTTAGTCTGCTTTCTGAATCTGTTTTGTTTGTTCTTTTATATTGTTTTTTAGTTTCCACATATAAGTGAAATCATAACTGACTTATTTAACTTAGCATGATACCCTCTAGGTCAATTCATGCTGTTGCAAATAGTAAGAACTCATTCTTTTTTATGGTTGAGTAATATTCCATTGTATATATGTACCACCACTTTTTTAGCCACTTGTCTATTGATGGGCACATGGGAGGCTTAAATATCTTGGCTATTATAAATAGTGCAGCAATGAATATAGATTTGGTTAATTCTTGGTACCAGAAATTCTTTTTTTTATTTTATTGTATTTGTATTGATTTTAGAGAGGAAGGGATAAGGAGAAAGAGATAGAAACATCAATGATGAGAGAAAAATCATTGATCGACTGCCTCCTGCACACCCCATACCTGGGATGGAGCCAGCAACCTGAGCATGTGCCCTGACCAGGAATCTAACTGTGATCTCCTGGTTCATAGGTTGATGGTTAACCTGTGATGCTTAAGCCATGCCAGCCAGTCTAGAAATTCTTAAAAACAAGTATAGGCACCTGATGTTTAAAAAAGTCAAAAATCGAATTTTCCATTTAGTATTTTCAGACCACAGTTGACCATAAGTAACTGAAACTGTGGAAAGCAAAACCAATGATAAAGAGGGGCTCCTGCATATTATAAATGGGAAACATTGAGAATCTTTGCAGCTGTAATCACTATGTAAAAAAAAGAGAGATGTTCTGGATGAAAGTGTAAGAGGTGTCTGTTTTCACAGGCCATATCTCAGAATGAATATTAAATGTTCTTTGAATCATTACTTAGAATCTTTTCTGGGCTTCAACAGCACTAACAGATCTGTTTTCTTTTTTGTTGTTGGATGTCCATGTGGTTGTACACATTGTGGGCTCTGGCAATTCCAGGATGAAATCCTGACTGTGATCAGAAGAGTGGATGACAACTGGGCAGAGGGAATGCTGGGAGACAAGATTGGAATTTTCCCCCTCCTGTACGTTGAGGTAAGGCCAAGCTCTCTCAGGCTTGCTTCCTCTCCGCGCGCGCCCCCCCCCCCCCCCCCCCACCCCTGTGTTGTTTATTTCACCAGACCAGGTGAAACATGACTGTGGAACCCCCTTTTCTAAGAGAGAAAGAGGCTACTCCACCATAATCTAAGATCAATTAGGTTTTTATTCACCATGTCAGTGTTATAAGAATTGCTTTGGTCAGGTTTGAGTGGTCTGTCCCAGGCCTGGCTTGAAGCATCTCGCTCTGGGCACAAAGGAGGACTCCCCTGTGGACCTTTCCCAGTGCTCATGGAAAACACTTGCATGGCACGCATTTTTCTGAGACTCTCCTAAGTGCTGTTAGTCCTGTCTCCCCAGCCCCAGAGATCATACAGAGCTGAGAGAGATGTTGCCAGGCTATTTGCAAAGTCTTCTTGGGACTCTGGATTATTGGGCAAGTTCATCCAACTGCAAGTCCCTAAAGCAAAGATTATTTGAAGCTAATTGGAGGCTCATTCATTTCCTCTCTTTTCTGTTACTATGAAGCACAAGGTTTCTAGTTGGTTACAGGCTGCTGCTGAGGAGGGAGCATCTTGAATGCATGGCTTCTGGACCCCTGCTCACCACCATGTATGTGTAGGAGTGTTTGCCCGTGCGTGCGCCATTTGTCAATGTATGTCCATATGTTTTTCATGTGCTGAGCATGCACATCATCCTGTGACTACTGAAGTCATCCCTGATGAAAGGCAGAACTGGGACTTGGACACAGGTTATTTGCTCTAATTGAGCCCTTCACTCCCCTGCCCCCCACTAACTTGAGTTCACTCAGCTTCGTAGGTGACGTGGTTGGTTTGCCACACTTACCTAGCGGTGTGTTTGTTAAACACATCTGGTGATTCCTGTCACTTGCGGGATGAAGTCCACTTATTTTAGCATGGCATTCAAGGCCCTTTGCAGCACAACCCTGATCTCTTTTTCCAGCCTTATCTCTAGTCATTTTCTCCTCTCCCCTAAAATTTGTGGACCTCTCAAATTTATTTTAGAAGAGCTGACTGGGACATTCTAAGATCCTCCCACAGCAATAACAGTAAACACACACACACACACACACACACACACACACACACCCTTCTATAGTACACCTGCAAGCACAATTTCCTTCCTACCAAGTAAGCTTCTATCGTGCATTGGTTCAGTTTCCAGGAGGAGGGTGTTCTTTTCCATCCTGCTGCTCAGGATGAAAGAACCTGAATACCACCACGGTGCCTTGGAGAAGTAAAACACCTGTGCTCCCAGACATTACACGGTACTCAAAGGCATATGTAAGAATGTCCATGGGAACTTGACTATGCTGGCCTCAAACTAGAAACAGTTCAAATGTCCACCAACAATTGTAGTGGTATGGATGAATAAAGTGTGGTATGTCCACACCATGGAATACTGCCCAGCAGTGAAAAGGAACAAAAGATGCACATGGAAGCATGGATGACTCACAGACACACTTTGGAAGAAGCCACACACAAAAAAAGCATGTGCTATGTGATTTTAAAGGAAGTTCAGAAACAGGCAGAGGGAGTCCTGGCACGGATGTCAGAGTGTGGTGGCTGTAGGGGAAGGCTGATGGGAAAGGTGGGAGGGAGCTTCTGCTGTGGAGATATCTTACACCTTGGTCCTGGGAATGATTACACAGAAGGAGCAACTGTGGAACGGTGCACAGGTAATGTTTATGCACTTTTCTTTAGTCTACAATTTAAGAATCTTAGAGAAAATCTTGTAGGGAACCCCAAGATCATGGCAGCCACACCCTGCTGAAGCTGGGTAAGGCCGGTAAGCTACCCCTTCCCTGGAGGGGCTCAGAAGCGGGCACGGAGGCAGAGTGCTGACCAGGGCTGGGAAACCAAGCAGCTGGGCTCTCTGCTAACAGTCCCTGCAGGCACATCAAAGGCCAGGCCAGACTGCCTAGTGTACGACTCCCTAGCCACTGGAGACCTTCCATTCAAATACTATTCCCTCCAGGATGTGAGGGAAGCTCCTTCATTTTCCCTTCCCTGTGGCCCTTCCTGCCCACTCTTCCACTCACAGGTCTGCCTCTGCTCTGAGGACAGCCTCCCTCCTCCCAGGAGCAAGGGCAGGCACACCTGAGGCAGCCCTAGGCAGGGGCCTGCTCCTCCCTGGGCTGCACCTCCCTGGGCTGGGCTGTGGCCTGTGCAGTGCCCGGCCCCACCCCAGCACCCCAGGTGCCAAGACACAACCACAGCATGGCCAGCCGGGGTCTCTGAGACAGACTCCTAGCTTTCAGCGCTCCTGAAGACAAGAAGCCCCCATGGGCATTTCCTGAGACTGAGACTGTTTCACTATTTCTCTGTCAGTCATGTCTGGAAGCACCTGAAGAATGGGATAAAAGCCCAGTATGGCTCCTGCCTCATATGTAACCTTGGGTGGAGCCTGTGGGTCCAAAGGCTCACAGTTTCACTGAGTGTCTTCCTCTGGGAGGGTCCTGGGTATTAGTGATGGGAGTGGTTGCAGATTGGGTCCTTCTCAGAGTTTTCACCTGGGCCAGACTGGCACCCAGGAGGGAGCCTTGGCTTCTGTTTTCAGCTGCAGATCAGGCAGATGGCACCTTTTGGAGCACCATTTGTCCCTGAAAATGAGCCTGGGACGCAGGAAATGGGGCTGGACTCAGGCTGCTCACAGTGCTCTGAAGTGTGGTGCAGGATGCATGCAGGTCGTGGGCAGGAGGCTGCGGGGGCCTAGGTGTGCTTTCCATCGTGCAGCCAGGCCTGGGGACTTTAAGAAGTAAAGGAGAGGCCTGGATTCATTTCTTCGCCGAGAGCTTGTTTGGCAGGCATAGTGGACATGTGGTATAGAACCAGCCTGGAGTGGCCTGGCCTCGTGCTGTGGGCCTTTTGCTGAGAAGGGAGCCCTGTCTCCAGACTGTCTGCTCCTGTGGACTGTGGAAATCACCTTCTCATCCAATCTCTCCACTGCTGCCGGCACCAGCTGCCTGCTGCACCTGCACCCCTGGCCTGTGCCCGCTGTCGCTGGCACCAAATCTGCCTGCACCTGGCTCCCTTGCTCAGACTCTTCCTCATCAACCTCTGACCTTTCATTCGCCAGGCCTTTGACCCTTCACCTCTCTGGCTTTCATCTCTATTTCCCGATTCCCTGGTTCCCAGCCTGTACTCTTGAACCTGCTCCCCCATTCTTTTCTCCCCATTTGCTTTCTTGGACAGTCACCGTTTGTGCCCATGCCCACATCCACATGGGGACTGATGTCTTGTCTCACTGGCACCTGCCTCTTTGCCAGATGACTGCTGGACAAGGTGCCCTCACCTGCTGCCTGGGCCAATTCCTCAGTGGGTGTCCACTCAGCACAGAGAGAGGACCAGGCTCTAATCCTCAGGGAACAAGCCAAACACGAGACAGGGCCGCCTCCACGTCTCTGGTCCTGAAGGGGAAGCACAGTTGTTGGTATTTTGATTTTTTGGAACACGCTGTTCTAGTGGAAGTGAGAAGGATTTTCAAAGGGAATTCCTCAGGCCCAGGGCAGGAGAGCCCTGGTCCCCAAGTGTGAGGGCTGCAGTGCCACCCGATGGGTCACAGTGCCATAGCATGTGGCAGCACTTGTGGTTCCTGAGCCAGCATCGCTTGACTGGGTCTGGTGCTGGTGGCCCCGCTCTGGAGCAGGAGTGCCCGGCCTGGAGTCCTGCCAAGACAACCTCACTCTCCTTTTCCAGTGTCTCTGAGATGGCACAGCCGGGGTCTGCCCTCGGTACAGCCCTCAGGCTGCACCCTGAGAGTGGGCCCACTTCTCATGGGCAAAGTCCACCCCAATGGTAGGACCATCAGTGGGCGTCCTGGGCTTCAGAGGTCGAACCAAAGGGGCTCAACACTATGCACTAGATTCTGGCCTTTGGCATGTTCCTAAACTGCTGGAGCCTCTGTTTTCTCCCTCAAGCGAGGACAACAGCACGGACCTCCCAAGGTAGTTAGTGGTGAGGCTTAAAGGCAATGACGGAGAGCACAGGCCTGGCATCCAAAGGAGCGGAAGGCTACTCTGCTGTGTGTTAGATGAATAACTGCTCGGTGGTCTTTCTGTGTGTTTATGGGAGATCTTGTCATCCCCAGGCACTGACCATACTTGGCCTTGTATGGCTGTTTTCTCACAGGCACCCATTTCTGCTCCCAGCGGGGATGGGGGCTCCTTGAGGGCAGGTGTTCCCCTCCTTCTATGCCACCTGGCAGCCCCTGCAGCAGTTTCCCGAGCTGAGCGACATTTGCAGGTGGATAGTGCCCACGAAGCAGGCTCACAGACGTTCCTGGGTGGCAGGATAGGAGGTGGAACTCACTCGAATGCTGTCCCCAGGAGCACAGTTGGGAGTCTGCCTCAGACTGGAGACATCAGGAGAGGACAGCTATGCTTGGCCTGGTACCCCGAGTCTCTGTGGGTACCTGTGTGGAGTCTCATGGGACTCATTAACTAATTTGCCTGTGATGCTTGTCTGAGAGAACACCTCTCCATGGGGCCAGAATTAAGATTCCAACGACTGCAAGGGCTGGAAATAGAGCTGAAAAGAATTATGCGATGTGGTGTATATAAACACCAAATTCACCTCACAGTCAGATCAGCTGTTCAAGCAGAGTAATGGGGAGACCCAGCTCCCCAGCAGTTAACTGAAAAGGGCCTCCAAAGTGGTTGGGCAATATGATGGTGCTTATTTATACTGCGTAGGATATTTCCGTGTGGTTGTGTGTTTGTGGATGGTTTCCTAGGTGACAATCACATAGGGTACAAGGATATACATTGGCGTATACTCATACCCCCCACTTTCACATAATCAGCCCACACGATCTCCTCTCTGGTGGCAAATGAGGGAGGCAGGGGCTGAGGAGGTAGGAATCTTCATAATTTCCACTAACTGCCCATGATGAAGAGGTAAAGAGTGGCTGTTCTGAGCCTGGAATGGACCTGAGTCCAGTGTGAGGACAGGTGGAGACAGTGAGGACACTGCCCA